GTGTAAAGATACTTCAAGCTTTGTTACACCTCATCAACAGGATAGCAGCAAACAGTAAAACAAACTATTTTTTAAATAAACAGTTGTTTTGTAATTATTTAACTCAACTAATGTGTAAAGTAAAGAGGCAGTTATCGGTGGAGGCTCATGTACAAACACGTCCGACTGCAGTGACCTAGTTAGACTTAGTCAGTGTTTTCATTTGTTTAGCATTTATAAAACAACTGTGTGAAATCCAGTCCATGTTTTATCTTCTGCTTTCACAATGACTCTGCAGTTGCTGAAGGTTAAAGTCCAGCTGGAATTAAAGATACCAAATACTACTTTGTCCAAGCACTTATATAAAGAGGTGCATGTTGGGCAATTTGTGTAATTAGCTATATAATTAGTAATTATACTAATATAATATAAATATGTAATAATATGCTATACCTTTGCTGTCACTACATCTCAAACACATATTAGAAATATAATTATAAAGAACATAATTATTGTTTATTTAAACTAAAAGAGTATTTAGTCAGCAGCATACAGCAATATACTGTACACAGGTGGGTTTAAGATGGCCGCAACCACCTGCATAATTAATCCCACCTGTGTTGATTGAGAAATTGATGAAGACCGTGTTCCCTAAAACATGTGTGCAGCAACATTAAAACCTTAAAGTTACAGCTAACAGTTTCTGCAAGCTATCATAAGCTAACAGATTGTTGTGCCTTAATGGTAGTTAGCTGCTCGGCTAACGTTAGCTGACATTAACTTTGCTTTCAAAGGTTCAAGACACCAAAGATTGTTTTTAATGTTGAACACATAAAAGTTGACTCACATTCAGTAACTTATCTACACTCTGGTGGTCGTTCCTCAATCATGAAATACGGTTCTTGGTCAACTAGTTCGGTAGATGGCAGTGTCACAAAAAACTAGGGTCCTAAAAATTTGTTCCTGAAAGTGCAGCCAGAAAATGGTGAAAATAGTTAACTTGAGTTTGTTTTATTGATTTCTTCTCTCTCTTCTTACTTTTCTACAGATATGGAGAACAAAGACTTCAGAAACAAGGTTCCATGTGACCTCTGCAGTAAGACGGCTCTGAAATCCTGCCTGGTTTGCCTGGCTTCTTATTGCAACGATCACCTGCAGCCACATCACACAGTTCAGGCCTTGAAGTGGCACAATCTGATCAACCCTGTGGCGACCCTCGAGGATAGGGTGTGCAAGAAACACAACAAGACGAAAGAGTTTTTCTGCAGGAAAGACAAGAGCTGTATTTGCATTGTCTGCTTGAGGGATGACCACGTAATGCATAAAGCCGTCTCTCTAGAGGAAGAGTTTAAGGAGAGGAAAACTAAGCTGAAGCGTGTAAATAAGAAAGTCAAGGACACTCTGAAAAAGAAGTCTGCAATGGTTCAGGGGATTCAAATCTCAGCGACACAAGGTCGGCAGGAAGTGGACAGAACGAAAGCCGAAACTATTAAGGCCTTCAATGCTCTGGTGGGCTTGATTGAGACCCAAAAGGTTTGGCTGGTTCAGCTGCTGGAGGACAAGCAGAAAGCAGCAGAACAGCAGGCGGAAGAGCTCATCAGACAACTGCAGCTCGAGATCACAGAGGAGCATCGGAAGAGCACCGAGCTGGAGGAGCTCTCGAAGACCGAGGACGACTTTAGACTCCTCCAGGGCCTCCTGTCTGTTCCTCACCATTCAAACACGACACACCGCTTCACCGCCAGAGCCCAGTGTCTGCATGTAGAGACGGTGAGGAGCGCGGTGGCGAAGATGGAGGACACGCTCAACGAACAAATGGCAAATATTATCAGAGAAGTCAATCTGGTGGATAAAGAGGAGCCGCTTGAGGAACAGACGCAAACAGAGGATGTGTTTGACGATGAGTTGGGGAATATCCAGAGGCAACATGCAAAGAATGTGACTCTGGACCCGAACACGGCACACCCCTCCCTCACTGTGTCCGAGGATGGGAAACAGGTGAGCTACGGAGGCAGAAAGAGGGAAGTCCCGACCAACCCCAAAAGGTTTGACTCCCTCCATTTTGTCCTCGGAAACGAGGGGTTTTCTTACGGCAAGTTCTACTACGAAGTTACACTTCAGGGGCAAACAGACTGGGAAGTCGGAGTGGCAAGAGAGACCATCGGCAGGAAGGGGCCTAATGTGTCCCTCAGCCCTGAAAATGGATGCTGGACTCTGGGGTCGTATTCGGGATGCTGCCAGGCCAATACAAACCCTCCCGTCGTTCTCTCCTTGTCTGAAGAGCCCCAGAAGGTTGGGGTCTTTGTGGATTATGAAGGCGGGTTGGTGTCTTTCTATGACGTGGATACCAGGGATCTGATATACTCCTTTACCGGATGTGCCTTTAGCGTACCGTTCCTGAGTAATCTACTATCATTCAGGATCTACAGGACCAGGATCTTCCCTTTACTCCGACCGAGCGCTGAGGAGGACAGTAACTGTGCTCCTCTACAGATCACTCCTATCTGATCCTCAACCTAAAAGATGTGATTTAGATGTGATGTGCATTACTCACACAGACAAGTTTTAGTTGGGTAGTCCGCCTGTGACTCCAGCTGGAGCACCAAAGATATACTGTAAAATAACTGTGAAAATACAGTAATTTTCTATAATTAAAATAGAGTTTTTAGCTTTAATTTTCTATAAAATCTTTTTAATGTTTAATTAAAGATATTTACACTGTTAAAACAATGCAATGAGCTATAAATCCAGGTGAA